GTGGTAAAGTAGACATAAAATTTACCATCAAAATCTCTTTTAAGTATGTAGTTCAGTGGTATTAATACATTCACATGGTTGTGCAATCATCACCACCATCCATCTCTAGAATTTCATCTTCCCAATCAGAAAATGTGTCTTTATTATGCAATAACTCCCCACTTCCGTTCCCAAGCTCCTGACATCCGCTATTTTGCTCTTTGTCTCTATGATTTGATCACTCTAAGTACTTAATATAAGTGGAATAGGAGGTATTTTCCTGGCTTTTTTCACTTATCATAATATCCTCAAAGTTCACCCATGATACAGTATAGCAGTTCTAAAAGTCTGTCATGTAGGACAAAAAGACAAAAGAGCAAAGTACCATGTAATAGATCAGTCATGAAATGTGCTCTCTTTGGAAAGTATTTTTGTTCCCTTTATTTTCACCAAAATTTTACTGGTTAGAAAAAAAGGGCTTTCAAAAATGTTAACTATTTAGAAATATTATTTACTTTATAAAGAAGACAGTAAATTAAGATAAAAAGAGCACATAATTGCTTAAGGTAACTCAACACATTGGTAACAAAGGCAGAAATAAAACCTATGTTTTCTGAACCTAATTCAACCCTATTTTCTTGAATTAAGTAGCATTTTGTGAACCTGACCAAACATATAGTCTGAACAAATTTTTCCTCGCTAATTCAGTTTCAGTGTAGGTGATATTTTTCATGTCATCAAAAGGGGACTTGCTTTATCATTTTGAAGATCTTCTAGATATTGTGCAGTACAGTCATCTATCTTTCTATGTTTTATTAAATTTTACATCCTGAACACTTTATTCATACAGACACATTCAGTTTTGAAGGTACCAAAAGAGACACGGATTAGGCCCTTGAGAATCTTAACTTTGAAGAAAAGTTAACAGTCTTAATTCAATTTCACTGCCTATATAAGGCAATAGGCAAGTTACAAAGTGCTATCACCATTCCAATGCTTAAAATAGATGGAATTGTTCTTTTCACCACAACTTTCAACAAAATTACATGTTCCTATTCTCAATCTTCAAACACCCTCCATTCTATGGGTCTCGAGAGAAAGGTAAAATAATGGAAAAAAAAGAAAAAAAAAAGAAAAGTAAAATAAAAGATTAGAAAGACACTCAGAAAAAAAAAAAAAAAGGAACTGGGTGAATTGAAGCTCACAAGTCTACATGGCCAGTGCACCCCCTTATTACATGGTGGATGATCTGGTCTATAGTACATGCCCTGTAGTCATGCCTACCACCAACTATCTTGATATCCCTACCTCCCTTATTAAGGAGGATATTTTTGTCTCTACTTGTAAGGGAGTGGAGACAACTTACAAGGGAGTTGTCTTCTTTCACATTTTATGAAGAATCTTTCCCTGTCCCTCTAGTGTCTGGGTTATTCCTGGGAAATATTAGCATCTTAATCCATGTTCTCTCCTAACTCACCTTGAAACAGATATCCCTGTATTATGGACCAAAAAAGAAAGGGAAGCAAGCCCAACGGATACATGTGTTAAAGTCATTGAAAGGGGGCATAAGAATGAAAATTGTACTGTTTTTCTTGTGCATTGGGAACATGATTAAAGGACTGAAAGAAACCCTTTGTTTTAAAAAATAGGCAACTATTCATTCAGCATAAGAGTTTGAGAATGTGCCCTATTTTAAACTATATTTTAAAATGATTTATTTGCCTGCCATAAAATGTTTTTGATTGCTTACATTTTGTCTAAACTTAACATAGTTGTGAATTCCTAAAATAACTGTGTACAATGCAATGGGGCATATATAACTTGAAAACATATTTTCAGATTGACAAAACATTTACATTACCTTAGATCAGCTTCCACTGTTTACAGTTGAAAAATTCTGCCTTAATATTTAAGAACACTGTGGTAATCACTCCAAAAATCTGTTGATTATTAATGTTTTTGTGTTAAGATATAATTTGTCAATATAGAAAATGGAAACCCCTCTGACATAGGTCACAAGACATGGCACAATATTTTTATCTATCAACATTGCCCAGTTTAATTTTCACACAACTGACCAAAAATTTTTGTATAGTTATTTATTTGACCTGTGAAGAAATATGCTTAATGTAAGAAAAAATGGCTTCCAACAAAAGTATAATAACAGTTTCTGTTGTTTGATGAATCTAACAATGGTTTATATTGCTTAATGTATTTCATAAAGTATTCACAAATATATTATGTTGTTTAATATTTGAAAAATTCCTTGAGGGTGAGAAAATAGAATTTTAATCATTGTGAAAGTTAAGGAAACTAAATCTTAGGATTTTAGCATCTTGCCTATGTTCAGAGTGAAGTTAGTACACAAACTCATATTTCAACTCAGCTTAAAGGATCAGGTTAATCCTTTTATATTGTTCTTTGTGAATCATGTTTTGGTTCCTAATATTTGCAATAAGTCCCCAAGTTTAAAAATATAGTGTCTGGATTTGAACTCAAGGCTTTTTCACGTCTTTCCATTTGAAACTTCACCATTGCCTACTTTCCCTGGAAGGATTTAGTTCAACAAGAACACATTTGCTTGTTCTCCATGTATCAGAAACTGTTAAGCAGAGCAATTCATACTGTCTCCCCAATGGTGAGCAAATCATATCAATATCCCCTGGGATACTGGAAAAAAAATACCAATTCTTGTCTTCATTCTGAATCAGGCTAGGGATGTGGGCATGTGTGAGAAGAATTCCCAATATCTGATTAGGAGCTGAGGTTACCAAAACTAAAATACATTTTAAAATTAAGAATTAAATTAAGAAAAGAAGCTAAGACTGCAAATACTATGGGAGGACAAAGCAGATCTTGATTTGGATCACAGGATTACCTGTGGGATTTAGGAGTGAATGAAGAAGTCCTGGTTGAATAACTTCAATGACACAGTCTTTATTTATGATGGAGGCATCATAGGGCATGTAATAAGCTATGGTACAGGTAACTTCCTCCTCACAAGGGTAAATAAATGCTGGTAGTGTATAATAAATAAGGAAATGATCCTAAGAGCTTGGGCCACAGAAAGTATTTATATTAATGTACTAGGGCTAACAAGGAAATATCATAGATTGGGTATTTTTAAACAACAAATTTATTTTCTCGTGGTCCTGGAGGTTAAAAGACGAAGATAAAGGTAACAGCAAGTTTGTTTTCTTCTGAAGCCCCTCTCCTTAGTTTGCAGATTATTGCCCTCTTGCTGTCTCCTTAAAAGGTCTTTCCTTTGAGCACACATGCCCTCAGGTCTCTCAATGTGTCTTCCTGTCCTCTTCTGATAAAGACACAAATCAGATGGAATTCGGGCCCACCCTAATGACCTCATTTCAACTTATCCATCACTCTAAGGTCTCAATCTCCCAATACAGTCACATGCTAAGACACAGGACATTAGAGAACCAACACATGCATTTTAGGAGACACAATTCAGTCCCAAATAGCGTCTTATAAATATCAGTTGTTTGATGTTTTGCCCTATTCCTACTTCCTCTCTTACTTAACTCACGGGTCCCAAACAACCCCTGTATCTGCTCAGTTCCATCTGCTGCCCAGAAGCCAGTTTCTTTAGTGAGTTTGGTAACCTGAGAACTTGTTCATGAGGATCAGTGTGTGTGTGTTGGAGCTTTTAGGTAAACATTTGCATAAACATGAAGGCAAAGGGCTTTAGTGTCTTTATAGGAGAGTGAGAGTGAGGAGGGTGAAAATTTCTGGTGTGTAGTCCAACTAAAAATGGAAATCTTTTCAGAGTTAGATGTTTGATGCTCTTCAAAATTATCACATGAATCACTCCCTGTGTGCTCATCCTAAACTTAGGTCTGGACCTAGATAATCTGTGGCATTTTATGAAAATTTGTGTGTTGTTTTCATTTTTACTTTGTTTTATATTTTGGAAAATAAAATAATAAATATTATTGGAATATGACAATTTAAAATGTTACCACCTTTTTCCTTTGGAGAGAAGATTCATGCTTTATAATTCAATAGTACTTATTTAGTTTTAACTTTCACATTTTTCAAACATATGTGTATGTGCTTCCTTTTGTTGCTATCAATGACAAAGAGTTTTACCTCACTGTTTGCTTAAATTCTCCTCAGTGAGAATTCACCAACAACACCACCACAACAACCAAAAAAGAAAAAGAAAAAAAAAAAAGAAATATAAATGTAGTGGGTTTTGTTGTTTTTTTTGAGTCTGACATTGTGCGGGGTTGTACATTTCTTGTTAAATTATGATTGATTCCATAACTGATTCTGCTCTCTGTCAGAACCATTAGCCCTCATAGACCATTTGTGAGGCATTTCAGAAACACTGTCTGGAAGTAATCTAATAAAGATGAGCTTGTATGTAAACTTGATGATCGTGCTGTATAAATGTTGTGGCAGAATGCACAGAGAACAATCAGCCAGCACTCTGAAGGAGGGAAGTTTAATCTTTATTTCAGAGATCTGCTAGACCAGGGAAATTCGGGATCTAAAACCTGAACTGAACTCGTGGGAAGGCTCTGGCCTATATATCTCCTCCTATGGCCAGACCCTGAGAGTCCCCGCAGCTCCACCCACGTCAGTCTTGGCGGGGCCCTGGGGTTAGGCCCTGCAGCTCTGGCCACTGTTCAGTCAGAGTGGGGAAGTCAGACTAGAGTTTTAACCAGATACTGAACTAGGTTGCAAGCTCCTCCCCTCATTTTTTTCTTTTCCTAAATGCCAATGAAAAATATACATTTTATCATTTTTCCCTTTTGAAAAATAAGTAAAATTAATCTTTCATGCAGTTTTACATCTTGTTTTGTATTTTCATAGAACTTTTCATTTAAAATTTTACAAATGAAAATGGAATTCAAAGCTTCAAGTTTATCATCAAGAATTAATGGATTAATAGCCATCATATCTCTTTTCCATAAGTTTTGTTAACTAATAAGGGTGAAAGCTAAAATACCTATCAGATTGGCAATTGCTCTTGTTTTGGTCCAATGTTGGTATTTCAGGGATGAAGAACCGGGAGGCCAGCTGGTCACAGATAAGTTCCACATTGACTGGGATTCAGTGCTTGTCCACACAGATAACATCATCATTGCACGATTTGATGGCAGAGGAAGTGGATTCCAGGGCCTGAAAATTTTGCAGGAAATTCATCGAAGGTTAGGTTCCGTGGAAGTAAAGGACCACATAGCAGCTGTGAAGTAAGTGGCTGCCATATTCCTGTTATCTTCCCTACGAAGGTCAGTGCTAGGTGAATGATATATAATACAATGAATGCTGACTCCGATATTTTTATTTTAATTACTGAACAATTTCCTAAGTTCATCACATAGACTATTGCATTTTTTTCAAGTACCTTTCTTTCTTAGCACCATAATAAAAGAATTATCATATTTCCTCTATGGAATTGGAATTCATTTTGGATGGACTCACTTTCATGAAAACGAAAGATCTTAAAATTATGCTGCTATAATTTTAATCATAATTCACAATGTCTATTATTTCTTTAGTTAATTAACAATTCTTGAGCTTTCATATTTATAACTACCACACTGACATGAAAGAATGACCTGGGAAATCTAGTAGGTTCTTTAAAACTATACATAGAAATAGGTGAAGATATTGTTAAAACGTAGATGTCAATTCAGTGTGGCTGTAATGGGGCACAAGGATTTTAAATGGGACCCAAGGGTCTTAAATGGGACCCAAGAGCCTGCATTTGTTAAGCTATCAGGTGCTACCTAAACTACTGGGCCATCACTTTGACTGGCAAGATTTTGAAATATATGGCTTTTATACATCACTAGAGCTGTAGCCACAAAAGTATTTCTAGTTTGACTTGTGTTGTGTTTGTGCCAAGAATGAATTCCCATGTGCTCAAGAAGATATAACTATTTTCTTTTCCTTTTCACTGCAGATATTTATTGGCACAACCATACATTGACTCCAATAGATTAAGCATTTTTGGAAAGGTAAACGGTAGAAAAATTGTGTGTGTTTGTATAATTACTTTCCTCAATTTACTTTAAGTTATGTATATCATTTTTTTAGAATATAATGTTATAATTACTAATTATATGCATTCAATAATGTATTAATTAATCAACTATTAGTATCTAGTATCGGTGTTAGAATAACAACAGGACATAAGAAAGCTCTGTTTTTATGAAGCTTATCTTCTAGGGGAGAAAAAAGATAGTAAACAAATAAATGAAAAATATTTTCATATACCAATAAATCTTATAAAAAATCAATGGAGAAAATTTAACTGCAGGAAAGACCAATGTTATTAGATTGAGTGTTCAGCTAAGAGCTCTTGATTAAGTGATATTTAGGTTGAGACATAAATAATCAAAAGGAGGAAGTCATAGAAATCGCTTAAGGCACAGCAGGAACAGCAAGCTTTGGGAAGACGGACCTGGCTTAGAATCTGAAAGATGACTGAATGCATAATTATGTCTCCCATATTTTCTGCACAGTACTTACTTCCTATAGCAATAATTTTTATTTTGGATTCAACATCATTATTAATAAAATCTATCTCATGTAGATATATATTGAGTTCCTTGCTTTTATATGTCACTGGGCCAGATGGTATAAGAATACAGAGATTAAAGAAAGAAGATCTTACACTATTCCAGACAAAGCAAATTCTTGGTGCTCATGGTTTTAAATATGAAGTATTTTCTGCTATTCCTAAGTGAACCCAAAGACACATGCCATAAAATAATTGGTAATTTTCTGGGGGCATGCATGTCCTACCCACTCCAGATATCTGCAGAGCACCATGTCTTTGTTGTATTTAACTCTGGTTGTAACATTCAAGGGACCATAAAAACTTTTGGGAACAATATCCCTATAATATAAATGCAAACAAACAAACAAATGAAATGCCCTCATTAGTGGTAAAGGCATTAGTGAAAAAAAAACAAAAACAAAAAATGTCTTAGAAAGTGGTCATTTCAAAGAAATGGGAATTCTAGCTACATTAAAATGTGCAGATAGTGAAATCATGTCCCATGCTCCAACAGGGATGAATCATGTTGACATTGAACTTGGTGAAATGAGCCAGGCACAGTGGGTTATACACTATGTGATTCCGTTTATGTGAGACAGCTAGAGTGGTCACATTCGTGGAGGAAAGAGTACAGTTATGGCTGCCAGGGCCTAAGGGTCGGGGGAAAGGAGAGCAGTTGTTTAATGGGCATAGAATTTCAGATTCACAAGATGAAAGCATTTGGACATCAGTTGCACAACAATGTGAATACACTTGATACTACGGAACTGAGCATTTAAAAGTGCTTAAGATAGTAAATGTTATGCTACTTTTTACCCCATCCCCATGAAAGTGCATCTAGTGGAGATCATTATACTCTTTAATGCTCATGATATATGCAATAACTTACAAAGGACCCAGGGTTTCTGTATTTCAGCTCTCTATTCGCAGCACACAAAAACAAGCATCAAAGACCAAATGAGTGGTAGGAGCATTCGTTAGTATGGGCATTTAGAGCAGATTCAGAAGTTTTAAACAGCCTCGTAAAGAACGTGGGACACGGACTGATGGGAAACATTATTCAGCAAATAGAGGACAAGAGAAGAGTCTGATGCAGATGCCCGATTCAGGAAGGAGAACATATTTTGGGAACCTGAAATAGACTTACTATCATTGATTATAGGCAAACAAATAACTGGGAAAGAAAGGGTACATGGCAGCACTAGGCCAGAAATTTACTATCTTTGATCAACTTATTTCCTTTACATTCAGCAATATTTGATTGAATGTCCAACTCCTACTGTTTTTTTTTCTTTTTGGCATAAAATTTTTTACAGTCTATATATCTTCATCTGTATCTATATCTATCTATATCCATATCTATATCTATATGATCTATATCTATATCTATATCTATATCTATCTATCTGAATCTGCATTGACATCTACATCTACATCTAATTCATCTAACAGCTGGCTAACACCATCCATTATAATTAACTTTGCCAACAGAAATGAAACTTAGAAGTTTTGAGGTACATTTCACTTTTTAAAAAAATATATTTTATTGATTTTACACAGAGAGGAATTGAGAGGGATAGAGAGTTAGAAACATCGATGAGAGAGAAACATCTACCAGCTGCCTCTTGCACACCCCCATGGAATCGAAACTGGGACCTTTCAGTCCACAGGCTGATGCTCTATCCACTGAGCCAATCTGGTTTTGGCACATTTCACTTTTGATCTTCAGAATGCTATAATAGTGAACTACAAGGAACTGATCAATATTTTTTGTTTTGTGTATAATTTGTTCTAGCTCAATTTTTAAAATTTGGAAAGCATGTGAGTTAATTAAGACATAAAATTATAGTATTTTTAAGAATATTTTTATATCAAATGTAGATTTTTACACTAGCCTTACCTATTTTTTACTTATTGTAATGTTAATATATAAACAAAAGCAAAATGATTAATAAATGTATACATTCTAAAACTATTGCATGTATATTAGAGGGCACAGAATGGGATAAACTTCAGCCAGTATATAAAAAATAATTCTGGGCATTATTTGATTGGCTGCCTCCTGCATGTCTCCTCCTATGGATTGAGCCTGCAACCCAGGCATGTGCCCTTGACTGGAATTGAACCCAGGACCCTTCAGTCCATAGGCTGATGCTCTACCCACTGAACAAACCAGCTAAGGTTCCAATTTTATTTCAATATTCCACAAATACTCTATAGGTTAGCAAGATTTTATAAAAATAAAATAAATTTGTTAAAATGTAATAAACGCAAAAATGTGTTGCAAATGGAACTGACATCATAATTGTAATGAATGAAAAAAATCTCATTACTGAGCAATGAATAAAAAGACAGCACAATTGAAACAGAGCAGTCTATACTGATTATTGAGTCTTTTTTTTTTTTTTACCTAAATCAAATGGAAAACTTCCTCTAATTGACTACAGAGTCCATATGATGGCCACCAGTTTTGATACTTTTTGATAGTTGTGAGCTGTTTTGAAAGAAAAGTTATTTCTCTAATGTAGATTAAATTAAAGCATCATTTTTATTAGGTTCTTTAATGGTACAGAGAGAATCATGTTCAATAGCTTTTACTATCATTAAGTCTTAAAGAGTGTTTAGCTTCACTAGTCTCAAATTTTCATATAAAAATAGTGAGATACAATTCTTTGTGTAGCAGCAATGATTTACAACCCTAGTGTCACTTCAGAATCACATAGTGAGCACCACAGCTCATCACCACGGCTTGAATTGTTTTCAAGAACATTGATATATTTTTGGAAGGTCTGCTGGTCTAGTACATGTTGGCTGAAGCCAGGAAGATGTGCTGGTTTGTTCTTTATTATAATAATATGTTATAAGGACTTGCTATTCACAATGTGGACCAGCAGCATAAGCTATGCCCTGGAGTTTCTTGCCAAATCTTAGAATCAACACCAGATCTGCTGAATTCAAATATGCATTTTATTAAGACTTACAAGCACTTTGAATGAACATGTAAGTTGAGAAGCATTTTTCTAGGATCTGCTCCTTTAGAAGGCACCATTCTTCTTATTTTCTGGAAAAAATTAACTTCTAAGAATCATATTAAACAGAGGTAAACACACACACACACAACAACAACAACATAAAAATATAACACCAATTTATTATTTTATATTACTTATATGTGATATACAGTTTTGTGGAATGGAATACTTAGCTATTTTCTCAAAGTAATAAAGTACATATGTAAACAACTAAATCATAACCAGTGGAAGTTTGTTGGGCATTTGTGGAATTAGAACCATAAAAGCTATTACCTAAGACATAATCCTCTGCAATGCCTTTCTCAAGGTGCAGATAGTATTGCTCTGTGGGAAGCACTTGAAGCCTCTGGGATGGCAACCTCTCTGACAATATCGTAGCAATGCCTCCCCCGGGTCCAGCACTCTTAAGGGCTAAGCAGCTCTTTACTTGCTCTGCTTGACTCTCCATATCCTCTCAGACCTCTGAAAAGGAGCAGAAGATGCCATACCAGAATATGCCTTTTTAGCCAAAGGATAATTTTGAGCTAATTGTTTTTAAAAAAAACAGCAGATGCTTCTACTCTGAAAACAGACAGAGTAGAAGTTATTCTTTTATAAGAGATATTTACATTTATAAGAAAATAGCCATTTGTGTCTCCCTGTCTGTACCAACAAGAGTCAGATGATTCTAAACCATAAGGGATTCTTAGCAATGGAGAAGGCACTGACTTAAATCTACATAACAAACCCTATCCTTGTTTAGGTTTTTTTTCTAGGTCACTTCTTAGAACCAACCTCTCGCAACATCTTCTTTAATTGAAGATGGCATTTAAGGTGATGGCCAGGGGTTTCTTACAGAATACATGAGGTATACATGTTTAAAAAAACAAACAAACCAAAACCATCAACAACAAAACTTGTGCTTGTTTCTCTCTTATTAATATCTATTACAAGGCATTACAGCCAAGAATTAAGAAGGATTGCCGAAACCGGTTTGGCTCAGCAGTAGAGGGTCTGTCTGCAGACTGAAAGGTCCCAGGTTCGATTCCGGTCAAGGGCATGTACTTTGGTTGCGGGCACATCCCCGGTGGGAGGTGTGCAAGAGGCAGCTGGTTGATGTTTCTCTCTCATCGACTTTTCTAGCTCTCTATCTCTCTCCCTTCCTCTCTGTAAAAAAAATCAATAAAATATATAAAAAAAGAATTAAAAAGGATATAAAGAAATTATTTCCTTCCATTCCTCCCTCCCTCTCTTCCTTCCTTCCTTTCTTAATATTTTCATTGATTTTTAGATAGAGAGGAAGGGAGAGGGATAGAGAGGTGGAAACATCAATGAGAGGGGATTGAACACACAACCCAAGGATATGCACTGAGCAGGAATTGCACCACTAACCTCTTGGTTACACTAGCTGGGCTCCACTTCTTTCTTTAGATGTGCTAGCACAATTAAGCCTGCTACTCTTAAATTTTGCTAACCAACAGCTATTTCTCTCTCTCTCAAAGAGACTGAGCAAAAACACTCTTGATGGTTTCACTCTGTAAAGTATAATTTTATTTCACTTAGCTCCTTATTTGGGGGGACGCTTTGCTCAAGCTTCTGGGTGGTATGTGAATACACAAGTTAAAAAACGATATATGCGGGGATGAAAAATAATTTATTCTTTACCCTTTTGAGTTCTTGGCTGAGATACTCTTTAATAAAAGACAGATTAACAAGAGAAAAATAAAAATATGTTTATTGACATTTATACCTCATGTCTATATGGAAGATACCCAGGGAAAAAATGAATAAGTTTCTGAGGTGGCTTAGAATTCAGGCTTAAAATACCAAGGTTTTTTTTTTGTTTGTTTGTTTGTTTTTTCTAATGTTATTTTTATTTATTTCATAGAGAGAAAGGGAAAGAGAGGAATAGAAACATCAATGATGAAGAGAATCATTGATCTGCTGCCTCCTGCACACCGCCTCTTGGGGATAGAGCCCACAACTAGGGCATGTGTCCTGATTTGAAATCCAACTATGGACTCTTAGTTGATTTATGGGTCCGTGCTCAACCACTGAGGCACAGCAACCAGACCTAAATTACCATCTTCAAAGGGAAACAAGAGAAGATATAGGTCCTTTAGGAGAGATAAATGACTGTTAAGAAAGAAGAATAAGGCCGAAACTGGTTTGCCTCAGTGGATAGAGTGTTGGTCTGTGAACTGAAAAGTCCCAGGTTCTATTCCGATCAAGGGCATGTGCATTGGTTGTGGGTACATCCCCAGTAGGGGATGTGCAGGAGGAAGCTGGTCGATGTTTCTCTCTCATCCATGTGTCTAGCTCTCTATCCCTCTCCCTTCCTCTTTGTAAAAAATCAATAAAATATATATTTAAAAAAAGAAAGAAGAATAGGACATTAGCAGAATAGATGGGAGATACAGTTTGTGGCAAATTTTTTTCTGTCAACATTTATTCTCTTTTATGACAAGAGTTAGCTTCCATGATTGATGAAATTCTTGGGAAAGAATCTATAGCAATAGAGTTCCTGTTGGAAGACCTTGTCTTTATGGGAGTTCAGAGAAATCCTCTCCCTGCATTTGTTGTTTTTTAAGTACCTCTAGCTCAAAATAATCATATGCTTTTGTGGAACATTTTGGAGTGGAATATTCTGCTACTCTTTACATACATTATCTTTGCCATTTCATTAATGTCAAACTGCATTTTATATATATATTTTTTGCCAATACTTAAATAATGTTTCAAATAAGCATAAATTAAATTCTGTACTTATTATATCAAGTATTTAGTAAGAATAGATTACTTTAGCACTAAACTACATTAGAATCATCTAGAATTCTTTCAAAAGTAGACCTCATCATGAATCAATTGCACCAGAATTCCTAGTGCTAAGACATGAGTGTTAATATTTTTTTAATATCTCCTACGATACTCTAAGTAAAATAAGATATAGAACATTGCCCAGAACACAGATTAAAATTGATTTCTAAAATTAATAGACCATTCCTTTAGCCTAGTATTACTGTAATTGTGAAAATCTCCTTTGGATCTTTTCTGGTCAACTCATGCACTACAAAAGAAAGTTGAGAATCTTGGTTTATTTTTTAAGAATTTATAAATAAATCAGTTCAAAAAAACATCAAGAGGATATTTAAAATGAAATTTAAACAATAATCCAACTCATCTAAGTAGCAGCATTATTTACTATATCTTATTTCTTTCAAATATTTAGTTGCATGAAATTGAAAGCAGAATATATATTCATTATTTATTTTTATTTTTTAAAATGATTTAAAATTGATTTTTAGAGAGAGAGGAAGGGAGAGGGATCAAAACAATAATGAAAGATAAATATCAACCTTGACCAGTTGCCTCCTGGTCACCCCCTGCTGGGGATGGAGCACCCAACCCTGGTATGTGCCCTGATGAGGAATTGTACTGGTGACTTCTTGGTACATGGATGGATGCTCAACTACTGAGCCACACTGTCTGAATCAGAATCTATATGAATGACAGTAGATTTTAAATATTTAATTATGCTTTCTTAATTTTACATAGCCATCATCATTATTAAATGATCTACTATATATATATATATATATATATATATATATATATATATATATAACTTATTAAATCATATATCATATTAGGTTTCATATATATACTAAAGGGTTGGTACATGGATTAGTAAACATTAAAGGAAATTAATTAGAATGTGGCTGGCAGGGTACAACTGGATGAGATAGGACAGACATGCCCTGGAGCCAACCTCCCACAGTCCCTCTCCAGCTGGGGCTTGAAGGGAGTCTGGTGAGTGAGTGGGTTCCCCCTGGCAGGTGGGGTACCTCCGCCAGGCCTGCAGGAATTGGGCAGAAACTGGCAGTCTGAAATCTCCAAAGGAGTCCCAGAGTACACGAGAACACTCTGCAAAGTTGCTGTTGCTCAGCAGCTCCTGTGCTGAGTGTCTGCCCCCTGGTGGTCAGTGCATGTTATAACTAAAAGCTGGTAGCTTAGCCTTTTATATATATATATATAGATATCTGGCTTGCCTAAAAATGATATATGATTTAATAAGTGATATATTTTCATAGCTTCAAATTATTTTGGGAAGTTTACAAATATTTGGTATGAAATTAAAGAGCAAACCTTTGACACTTGGTGGTATTTGATAAATTTTATATTTTACCTAAAATTATTAAAATAATGTTCTATAAAAATTTAAACAACTCTTTTCAAAATTTTATGTGTACAAAGTGGTCTTTGTATTATTAGAGAGATTTGGGTATCCATTTTCCCCTGGGTCTGGGGCTGCTTTTCTTATCATATTTCAAAAAAAATTTTTTTTTCTGATACTCACTCAGGAGAGTGAGTGAGTTTTTTAGTGTGTGGAATTATATTCCTGTGTTTTCAAAGTCCCATTTCCTTTAGCTTATTTCTGGAAGAAATGTAGAGCTGAAAGCAGAGCTTGTGTCCAGAGTTTTCATTCTGTGGTGCCACTGGGTCCCATTCCACATCAGGCTAGTTGCAGTCCATTAGTCCATTGTCTGTGAAGGCCACATGACCATGGGCCATGTGGGAAAATGTATAGAGTACAACATGCCAAGAACACAAAAGCACAAGAGAAACCTAGAGCCCAAGAGAGATCATTGCTAGGGGATTAAATATCTGAAATTTTGCACCCTTGAAATGGCCATGCCTATTCTGGTCAATGACCTGTTCCCAAGTGTGACTGACAGACAAGTACCTTCCCTCTGTCACCCCAGCTTTACTGGGCATGTGTCTATCTCCTCTCCATTGAAATCTTAGGGAGTATAAATTTATAGCATCCTAGTGAAGCTGCCCAAATAACATGCCCACAATATTTGGTCTTCCTTTTGCTCCTTTCCTATTATCAATAAATAGACTAGTAGCAATTGTATTATCAGTATACTAGTGGCCTGGTGCATGAATTCATGCATTAGTGGAGTCCCTCAGCCTGGCCTGCAAGATTGGACTAAAATCGGCTCTCCAACATCGTCCAAGGGGTCTGGGATTGTGAGAGGGTGGAGGCCTGGCCAAGGGACCCTACTGGTGCATGATTGGAGCCAAGGAGTGATGTGGAAGATTGGTCAGCCAGGGAGGGACTGCAGAAGGGCTCCACCTGTCCAGTCTTTTCAGTCAGTCCCAATCAGCTGGATTCCTGCAGCAAGCTAACCTACCAGCCAGAGTTTCTGCCCCTGGTGGTCAGTGCACATCATAGGGAGTGGTTGAGTGGCCTTAGCATATCATTAGCATATTACACTTTATTGGTTGAGCAGATATTATGCTTTGATTGGTTGAACAGCTGATTGGGTGACTGGACACTTAGCATATTAGGCTTTTATACTACAGAAGTCTTTGCTCACATTTGGGACATAATGAGGCATTGTGATGTGTAGATCATCAAACACAGTGACTGAAGTTAAAAGTATCTACAAGAACCAAAACCGGTTTGACTCAGTGGGTAGAGCATAGGCATGCAGACTGAAAGGTCCCAGGTTCGATTCCAGTCAAGGGCATGTACCTTGGTTGCGAGCACATCCCCAGTAGGGAGTGTGCAAGAGGCAGCTGATCAATGATTCTCTCTCATTGATGTTTCTAACTCTATCCCTCTCTCTTCCTCTCTGTAAAAATTCAATAAAATATATTTTTAAAATTTTTTTTTAAAGTATCTACAATAATTATATAAATATATATATATTTTTTGTTGCCAGGGGTACGGTGGCTATGTTGCATCAATGATCTTAAAATCAGATGAAAAGCTTTTTAAATGTGGATCAGTAATTGCACCCATCACCGACTTGAAGTTGTATGGTGAGTACTTCCTATAAAATTACCTAATACAATGTATTCATTTATAGAAAACAAAATCCTAATGCAGAAGAGCTCAAATGAGTTCATTTATCATGTGTTATCAAAAATGTTTACAGCTGTCTATGTTCTCTCTGATCTAATCAGTTTTACTGGAGTATGATAATTAAATATGAAATATAGGAATTGAATAATGAAATATTCTATTTCAATTTATTTTAGTTTATTCTTAAATTTCTGTTTTCTTGGGTGACAGCTTCAGCTTTCTCTGAAAGATACCTCGGTATGCCATCTAAAGAAGAAAGCACATACCAGGTAACTAATGTAAGAAATAATTAAGAAAGAAAAGTACTTCTGTTCTAAAAACTCAGTAAAAATGTAAGTACAGGTAGAAATATATATTCAGATGTTTTTGTTTCCCTTTGTAGGCATCAAGTGTGCTACATAACATCCATGGCTTAAAAGAAGAAAATATATTAATTATTCATGGGACTGCTGACAGTAAGTATTATTTTGCTGCTAGTAGTCATTGATGGAGTCTGAACTTGAACAAAGGGGTACATTCAATGACTTGCTTAAAGGGGATCCTATAAACCTACTAAAGAAGAAAGCAGAGTGGCACAGAATCTGGTGCATGGTGGGAAGTGGTTAAAGGGAACTCGGGACTAATAATAGAGGAAGATGTGAACCTCAATGGCAGCACTGTGCAATAAAATATTCTGGATGGTAGAAATGTTCAACCATTGCTATTAAACACACTAGCCACTGGCCACATGTGGTTCATAAGTGTGTGTTCATAAGCATGTGTTTAGAATGATTAAAAACTGAATTTTTAATTTTAGTTAATTTTACTTAATTTAATGGCTAGTGACTACTTCTATAGTGTTATTGAGCATTCCTCAAAAGGACACTAGCCTAGAAAATAACAGGACAGCACTGAGATAATATTCTGAGGAGGCTACCCACTTAAATTGTTAAAAACAAAAACAAAAACAAAAAACCAAACACGTTCATATCACCTCTCATTTGTCACATTAAATAACGGAAATGTATGTGATTGATATTACTAGTAATTAATATTTTATAGCCACATAAAGAACTTATATATGCCTTTTATTATTCTGTATAAAACTTTACAACAGAGAGATAACTATCCATAGCTCCATTCAGAGTTGAGAAAAAAACAACACACCAATTTCAAGGAGGAAACTAATTTATTTAGGGATACCTGACAAGTGAGCAAGGATAGTCAAAGCCTTGAGTTAATAATTTCTAACTTTTGAACTGTTTTTCTTGGTTCAACCTGCCTTGCCTAAGTATTTTTACTGCATTATGAATATCATATAATTAAAAAAGAATTATAGCAAAGATCATACCATGTCTTGAGTTTAACTTTCAAGCATGTCAAGCCATGGTTAAATTAGGGTTCAGCTCAGTATACTATCTATACTAATAAAAGGGTAATATGCTAATTAGACCATCACCTTCCTGATGACCTTCCAGGCATCCTTCCTGACAAGGCCGGCCTGGAACAAGCTGCCTGCCCCGTGGTCCTGGGCGTCAGCTCCTTTGGCTGTGGCCCTGGAGAGGGAGAAGGCTTCTGCCCCTGGTCCTGGGTGCCCAGTCAAAGCCAGCCTGGGTCCTAGGTGCCTGCAGCCAGCCAAAGGGAGGGAAGGTCCCATGTGACTGCTGCTGGCCAGGGGAAGGAATCCTGGGTAATGGGTGTGGGGCTGAGTCTGTTCAGGGAGATTAGGTCAGCGGGGGAGCAAATAGGGATGATGGGGCAGGCAGAGGTGGTTAGGGGCGATCAGGCAGGCAGGCAAGCAGTTAGGAGCCAGTGGTCCCAGATTGAAAGAGGCAGTCGGACTTCCCCTGATGGGTCCTGGATTGATTCACCTAGGTATTTCCTCTCAATGAGAGAAAACTTAACTCTCCTTCCTACCCCCTTTTGGAGGTTAAAATTACTGGTTTGTTTAAGAGCACTGTATAGAAAGGGGAGAAAAAGTAACTTTAGAATATAGACGCTGCCAAAACCGGTTTGGCTCAGTGGTAGAGCATCTGTCTGCGGACTGAAGGGTCTCGGGTTTGATTCCGGTCAAGGGCATGCACATTGGTTGCGGGCACATTCCCGATGTGGGGTGTGCAGGAGGTAGTTGGTCGATGTTTCTTTCTCATTGACGTTTCTAGCTCTCTATCTCTCTCCCTTCCTCTCTGTAAAAAATCAATAAAATATATTTTTAGAATACAGACACTTGGCAAATACCATTCAGCCAGGTGGTCAAGTTGAATAACAACAGTGACGAGTCACTTTGATAGCAGGCACCATGTATATAATTTAATTAAAAAAAAAACACAAAAAAACACATACTCTCAGTCTAACAATGAGAAAAAAAATTGGACAAACCCAAAAGAAGGACATGCTATCAAATACCTCAGTCTGTCAAAGTCACCAAAAATGAAGTCTGAAAAAGTCTGATAGACAAAAAAATCTTAAAGAGACATGATGTTTAAATGCTTCTAAGTTGTGTTAAATGTACCAGAAAAAATATGAAATATTAGTAATAGGGGAACTGGGCAAGATATATACAAGAACTCTTAGTACTATCTTTGTAATGTTTCTGAAAATCTAGAACTACTACAGAAATTTTAAAAAATGTATCCCCCAAACTTACATAATACCTGACCTGGGTTAGGTGAAACATAAAAGAGAGCATAAACATTCTGAAGGACATTAGACTTTTGTTCTAAAGTGTTAGGATATTATATGAATAAAAATGGTAATAACAATAAGTTACAATTATTAAGTACTGACTATATGTCACTTTGGAACCACTCCAGAGGCACTTTATGGTCAAGGCCAATTAAAGCACAGAGGCCTTGTTTTCAATACACCGGACTCTCCAAGGTTACTCTGTGCCTAGGTTAAGATACCATACACAGCTGCAATACCACAGCGATCTCACAGTATGCTCTGCCCTTCTATAGCTAAATGATTTATGTCACTGTTGCCAACTAGCCTTTTTTATCTCTGGAGTAAAATATAGAGGTTATTGACCAGCTAGGGTGAGAAGCAGAGGTGGTTGGCACAGAGAATGTAGCTCCTCTGTGTGCAGGAAAGAGGAGAGACCAGAGGAGCTGAGAGCTGGAATTCATAGAGAGCTCAAATACAACTACCATATTAACCAACTAGAGTGAGCTGGGCAGGAGAGACGGGAGAAACTACTGAGCCAGAGAGTTTAGATACTGCTATCATGTAAGGTAGTGAATTTAGAATCAGCATGTGGCTGCTCAGATAATAGAGATTAATGCTACCATGTAGGAATGATGTATTTACCAGCCTATGTATGGCTGCCTATATGGGATTGCTGTGAAGGACTGTCTTGTCTGATGACTCTGTGGCCACTGGCTTCTGCTGTAAAAACTCATTCTTATACACCCACCACTTCTCATGGCCTCTGTCTACAACCTGGTATCCAAGAAGGTCCAGCCCCTCAGAAGAGGGGCTCTGACCCAACAGTTAGCATAGTGGGCAGAGTTCAAGAGGAAACCTGCCCTGGCATATTTGGGAAGAATTTGTAGAAATACATGAATTCAGAGCAACTCAGAGCAGCAGTGCCGAGCAGAGCTCTTGCAGTCACTGATGATCACAAAATGTGCCAAAAACTTTTAATTTCATCTTACCTGTTTTCCCCCCAAATGCTGTAGTTATTATCACTTTTCTTATTGAACAAATTGGGGAAATAAATATTATGAAATTTATATAACTTGCTGAAAATCTCTCAAGTATTAATTCATAGAAAGAGGATTTGAATTCAACATTGAGAATCTAACTTATCTTGCTCTGAAGCTTCAATTGCAGCAATCCTATCTAATAAAGAGGAAATATGCTAATTGGGCCTTACACAATTGTAAAGATGGTGACACCCATAGCAAATGAGGAGGGAATATACTAATTGCCTTGCCTTCAAAGATGGCAGCACCCACAGCCATAATATGGTGGCACCCAGTCCTCTCAGCCCTCCTGGGGCAGCAGTCGCAAGGCAAGGCCAGGCCTGTCTCCATCCCTTCAGCCCCCCAGCTGCTCAGGGCTGGCCTGAGGTACAGGCAAGCCTTGGATGGTGGCTGCCCAGCTGAGCCTGGTTACCTGAGGCTCAGGTAACCAGGTCTGGCCTAGGCATGCACTGCCAGCGGTGGCAGCAGCAGAGGTGTGATGGGGTGTCACTTTCCCTGATCCCTGTGTAACCTCCTGCCTCTGAGGGCTCCCAGACTGAGAGGCGGCAGGCCAGGCTGAGGGACCCTCCCTCCCTCCAGTGCATGAATTTTCATTCACCAGGCCTCTAGTAAATAATACTCAGGATTAATTTTTTTTTACATCTAGCAATCACTGTTGTAGCTACTGAGATAAATCATCATTCCTGACTGACTCAGTCATGCCTAGTGCTTTGCCTGTCTGATAAAATGTAAGCAGAGATTCAGCACTGATCATATTAAAGCAAATGCACCATGCACACAGACACACACTCACATACACTACACATACACACTCCCTATAGGTTTGGTGGCTCAGTCATTAACATTGTAATAATCCATTATTAATATTTTCTTCATAAATTACCAGCAAATTAGTTCAGTCTATTAGACCTTAAATATCCCTGTTAAGTTTTAGGAAGGGGTCAAATGACAAATATCAACAAACTTCACACTAGAAACTGAACAGGAGAACAATCCATTTTGAAAATTGATCTATATCAGTGGTTGGCAAACTGAGGCTCGCAAACCACATGCTGCTCTTTGGCACCTTGAGTGTGGCTCTTCCACAAAATACGATGTGTGGGCGCGCACATACAGGGTGATTGAAACTTCGTGGTACAGGTGCAGAAGTTGGTTTTTGGCTCTCAAATTTTTTTTTAATCATTGTACTGTTGATATTTGGCTCTGGTGACTAATGAGTTTGCTGACCACTGATCTATACTAATAAAAGGGTAATGTGCTTATTAGACCAGATAGACCAGACATCTTCCGGTTGTCTGGTCCTCCTTCTGGACAAAGCCATGGTGGCAGGGGCTGAGGCAGAAGTAATTAGGAGTGATCAGGCCAGCATGGGAGGGCAATTAGGGGCAATCAGGCCAGCAGGCAGAGGGGTTAGGGGTGATCAGGCAGGCAGGCAAGCAGAGTGGTTAGGGACGATCAGGCAGGCAGGCAGGCAGGCAGATGAGCAATTAGGAGCCAGGGGTCCCAGATTGCAAGAGGGTGCAGGTTGGGCTGAGGGATTCCCCCACCATGAATTTCGTGCACCAGACCTCTAGTTTATACATGTATCTTTCAACCTTATCCATACTGGGAAATGGTGGATTCTTTCCAAAAGATTATCCTACAGTAAATTAAGTTGGTTTTACCTGAGCTATTGCTCCTCTTCATTAGCATTTCTAGTAGCTTAAATTACAGAGCAAGTCATAAACTTCTTCAAAGATGACATGATCATTCCCCACTAAGTACAAAAGGAACATGTTGGAAAGACCTTGGGTAGATTTTAAAGAGATTGAAATGACCATTAGGGAACTTTTATTTTCTGCTATGCAATAGTGTTGCTCAGTATCATAGAATTAGAGCTATGAAGGATCTTCAACTATTTATAATCCTGCCTCATTTTACAAAGACAGGTTAAAAATGGTAGCTTAAAAATTATTTACAGAAATTTGAAGAGCTACACAACGTGGGAATGAACAGCACAGACAGCATGTGAGCAAAGTGCTGTACAGAGATCTGAGTGATTCCTCCAAGCGTTCATTCTGGTGGGGCCAGGCTACTACTCTACCTGGCATGCTGTGCTGCTTACTTCAGTTTTGGACTTTGAGGGTCAGATAGAAGGAAAGGGAAGAACCAGCATGATCCTCATTAAATATTTACCTTTTGAATAAGGAGATATATACTCTCTCTTCTCAACATGGAGTATTATTTTCTAATTTAAAATAAAACTGAATGCCAGTATCTCACCAAGATTGTCCCTGATCATCCTCAGAAAGAAATAGAAACTGGTTTTGCTGTATTATTATCTATGTTAAAATTCTTATAAAGGTATAAAATGTGAGCAATTAAAAATGATAAATGATAACCAATAAAGTAAATCTAAGCAACATCTGTATAATAAGTAGAGCCTTCGTAGTAGATCCTGTTTCAGTTTATTTTTTTATAACATGAAGCTCACAGTTTTACCATCATGGTATCCACTGGCTTTCTACTTAAAGCAAGGTGTAAGTCTTTTAAATGTGCAGTGTATGTAAAATAAAATATTTAATTGTTTTTTGGGAAAAAGACATAAAAATGTTCTTATCGTTATAAACATATTTCTTCAAGTATCACAATTTAATTTCTTTCAGCAAAAGTTCATTTCCAGCACTCAGCAGAATTAATAAAACACCTAATAAAGGCTGAAGTGAATTATACTATGCAGGTAAGCCACTTTTTCAGGAGCTGTGTTGATGTGATTTCTTTCCTAGGTTTTTTAGTTGCGAGATCAGAACACAACTTCTGTGCTGCTCCATCCCCCCTGCTATTAGTTTTACTGTGTTTGAAGATATCAAAGATTGATTTATTTTTTCTTAAAAATGCTGAGAATGCGGATCAGCTCCTGCTTTACAGCTGTGTAATAGTCTTATGCAATGTCTTTCTCCTAAGACTTCTATTCATGCTGCTCTCGGAGGGATACACAAGTGGGATTTCTCTGTGGGTGGGGGAAGGGAGTTCTTGGGGCGCTGCTGAAATGAGCACTTTCAGAAGCCCTCGTGGGAGAGCGAGGTGCCTTAGAAGTCTTTGTCTGCGTGGATTACATTCCTCAGTTTCCATCAAGCCAGTCTTGCAAGAGGGAAGCTGTGGGGTCAACAGAGCCAAAAGCAAAGCCAGTGTCCAGAGCTTCTGTTCCATGTTGCAGCGAGCCCAGGTCTGTGTCCAGGATAATTAAAGCCCATCAGTCCATTGTGTGGGCCACGTGGGCAATTCAGGGGAATGTGCCGCCTGCAACAGGAGTTCCAAGAGAGAGGGAACTCCCTCTGTTCAGACGTTTAAATATTCAGATTCCATGCCCCTGCAGTGGCCATGGCTATTCCTGCTAATTACCTATTCCCAGGTGCGACTGGACAGATATGTAAGCGTCTTCTCGAGTCACTCAGACCTTATTGGGCATGAGTCCAAACTGCCTTTGGCCAGTCCCTCCCCCCATCAAGCTGTAGAGAACAGACTTGGAGAGTGCTGAAGTATAGCTCTATGTATAAATGACATGTCTTATTACTAGTCTCCACTTTACTCCTTTCCTGTTAATAGTAACTAGACTATTACAGTGGCATCAATATCACTAATGAATTATTTTAAAATGATAATTCTCGCCGGGACCGGTTTGGCTCAGTGGATAGAGTATCGGCCTGCAGACTGAAAGGTCCCGGGTTCGATTCCGGGCAAGGGCATGTACCTTGGTTGCGGGCACATCCCCAGTGGGAGGTGTGCAAGAGGCAGCTGATCGATGATTCTCTCTCATCGATGTTTCTAACTCTCTTCTCCTTTCTCTTCCTCTCTGTGAAAAATCAATAAAAATATTTTAAAAAATAAATAAATAAAATGATAATTCTCTTTCTCCTAGTCCCTTTGTCTTTTCTTCATTTTTCATCATTCTCATAACTAAAAATTTGGGAAGGAGGGTGGTTTCAGTAAATGTTATGAGAAAAAAGGAGAGATTAAAAAAAACATTTATATCTGTGCCTTCAACCATATTTAATAAATATTTATCGAGAACTTACTTTACAAAAGTCATTAAACTAGATAGGTCAATAAGACATACTTTATACGACCAAGGGACTTTCAGTCTGATGGAGGAGTTAGAAGGAAATAAAACTAATTGTAATTTTTCAACATTTGGGAGAACTAAAAGTAGCTCAATATATTGAAAACCCAGGAACCAGTGTTAGGATGATGACAGGGTAAGGGGAATAGGTAAACAGATGGTGGGTCATGCCATTAGCATTCTGAAAAGAGTATGTGGCTTTACCCAGAGGGCACCAAGGCACCATTTAAGAACGTTTTACTCAGGAATTAATGTCTCAACCTTTGTATTTGTATTTGACGGGGGGGGGGGGGGGAGGGGGAGTCACTAATGTCTTATGTTGTCAAAGTAAAAATTGCATTGCACAAGATTAAACAAACAAGGAGGACTTTATTTAAGACTACTACAATAAGGGAGAGAGACTAAATTCAACTCTGTTGCAATAAAGGGCTGAGAAAGCTTTGAAGCTAGGGAGGAAGAACTCATAGTGCACTTGCATTTGGCTTTACCAAAAGGTAATGTAAACTTTCTCGTATCTTTATGACAAATCCCTTCCTCAGAGACTGCAAGATGAGGGTGCTTTCTCCTTCAGTGCTTATATGTCAAAGAGATGGTTTTCAGTCCTTGAGAAAGACCTTCCCTGGATTGTAAAACTGGCAATAAACAGAAAGAGCATTTACATACATTTCAAAGGGAAAGAGAATAAATTTATAATTTCAAGTTTACTAAATTAAATAGGTAAGAAAAGGGAAGTCAGGAGCTTATACTTATGAAGAAACTATCTAATTTTTCCCCAAATAAATCTCAATTTAAATACATAAAAATTGGATGTTGTCTTAAATGTTGATTATGATATGATTATAATAAAAAAGAAGATTTTTGATATAAAGAATTCAGAGTGTAATTAGTTGAGATTTTGATTAGATATTATTACCTGAAGATTTTTTGCTATTTGATGAAAAAGAATGGGTTCTGAAGGACAATACTTGCTCTGGTAACTTTAAATATCCTTTCTCCTCAACACCTTAGGTCTATCCAGATGAAGATCATAGCATATCTGAGAAGAGCAAGTATCATCTCTACAGCACAATCCTCAGATTCTTCAGTGATTGCTTAAAGGAAGAAATACCTATGATACCACAGGAACCAGAAGAAGAAGAAGATGAATAATTGACTCTATTTATATAGAACTAAGGGGATACTGAGGCTCAATGAAATCGAACCAAGAGACTGTAATATTGTAGATGCTGCAGAATTCCAAGGGCAGCTTCAGGAGATGACACTGGAACAGCACACTCAGAGACAATAAACTAGAATTTGAATACAGATGTCCAAGTCTACTGTTTTGCCAAGGGTGCAGAACCTGTTTCTTGTAAAAGGAAGGTCAAATGGTTGGTTTATTAGGAGAAATTAGTTTTACATTACAGTAGGAATAGTGCATGTTTTTTTTTTCTGTTATGCCCTCTTTGTTCTGTAACTAGTTGTTCTCATTTTAATTTTAATGGCCACCATCTTTGCATACGATGCACAACTTATCTGTCCCTGATCTTGGTGGCTGAGCTGCAGCCTAACACTTGACTCTACCTTTACAATAAGTGCAATTCCTTCATTGCCTATTAGTATGCTTAAGAAAATATTCAGTTAATAAAAAGAGGCTATTTTATGTAATTTCTGTTTACAAAAAAAAGCATTGTTAAATGGGTCAAAGGTCATGTAGAAATACGGATTTTAGCACCTTCCGAAGTTCAGCCAGTTACCAGTAGATATGATATTGTTAAACCAACATACGAGTGTGTGTTGAACAATATATATATACACACTTGTGCATATGCAATCAATAAATTTATCTTTACATGCTATTCATGCTACAGAAGATAAACTAGAAGAAATGCTCTTTTACAGGCTGTAATGGAAGCTTTGTTTAATGAGCCAAATATGATGAAACTTTTTTTTTCAATTCAAATTCTAGCTATTGCTTTTCTCTAAATGTTTGAGTTGTGTTTGGTATCGTTTTTAGTGGTTAATAGTTTTCTAGTTGTAATTTAATTATTTGGATATGATACCTTGTCACTTGTAAATTAGATACTTAAATATTAAATTATAGTTTCTGATAAAGAACTTTTGTTAACAATGCAATGCCACTGAGTACTATTTTGCTCTTTTGGCGGAGAAGGCTTTTTTAAAAACACTTGGTCCTTTTACTTCTCTCCCTCAATTCAGAATCAGTTCTCATTTTCATTGTAAAAGCAAAGCAAAGAGCTGGCAAGTTTTCTTTTGCCAGTTCCAATTTAGTAATTGGTGCCTGCCCAATCCATCTGTTACTGTTTCATTTAAATACTTCTTGAATTAGAAATGAAATATTTTTTATTCATTGATGATAAGTTCCCAAATAGCAGTGTCTGCTGTTTAACTTGAGATGAAGGCACAAGACACATTCATTCCTGGTCTGTGCTAATTTGCGGTAGTAAGCAACTGAGAAAATAAAATAAACTTCACTGTTTGAAGTCAATGTAAATCACGAGGGGATTAAGTTTGGTGAGTAAAGTTCGAGTATCTTCGCACTTTAAGGATCTTCAAGAAGATATTGAAAAGTCTGGAAAAGTTTGGCTAAATCTAGGTAATAAACTATATTTTTGTGATTTACAAAATTTCTTAGTACAGTTCTGCGTAAACATGACATTAGAAGACCAGGAGGAAACTTAAACATGTCACAGAATTGCTCCTATTCTGTCAAAGGATCAACCCCTAAGTCTGGGTATTTGGATATGTGTGAGTCATTTGGGAATATTCTGTTCTTCTACTGAATGCATTGAAATTGTGTCCTCACCGCTCCATTGAATTCAATTTAAAACGAGAAAGGCTCTTTTCTGAAAGACTCATTTCAGGTCTTTCTCAAGAATAGTAAACACATTAAAAAAAGCTTGTAATATTTCAAAGGAAAGTTTTGCCTATTTTATTAAGATGGAAATTTCTTTTAAGGCTGATTTAAAGTCCAACTGCAGTTTTTAATCAATATTTTAAATTTCAACCACTAGAGATTTTTATGATGCAAATAATTATCTTGTCTGAAAGATGTGGTTTTATTGAATGTCTATTTGAGTAACATTTAAAACGTATTTACCTTTTGCTGTTCATCACTTCTCCTGTTTTATTATTATCAATGTTTATCTATTTTTCCAATTAATTTAATACAATTTATAATGTGAAAGACATTTGTCTGGAACCCACTTTCACCTTATAGGCTAAATAGATCTCAAATGAAGACATACTGCTTAGTAGGAAGGTGGAAATTTTTCATTTGTGTGATATTTTGAGTTTGAATAATTATGCCATTTTAGGTAAAGGATTGCTCACCAACACATAGACATCGAGTATTAGAGGGATTGCATAAGTGGACTTGCCCATTTATACATTTGTCTTTAATCACAATCCCGCTATTTTGAGTGTATTGATGCATTCCAAGAGGTTCCTAGAACTCCAGTAGCAAGCTTTCCAAGTGACATTTCCCCCTTAATGTTAAAAAAAAAAAAATCAAGCCAAACTGTAAAAGAAAACAGGCATGCTGTATTAAATCATCCATGGAGAAAATCACATAATGTTTTGAACCTATTTGGAAAAGCAAAAGTATTGTTTCACTAATTCCCTCCATGGAGGTCTCTAACTCAACACTTACAGATTAAGAAGTCCCTGCTACTCTGTTTGAGTTTCCTGACAGGACCAGTGAGAAGGGTGCTCTTCTAACCTGAATCTCAGCCCTTAGAGGAGCCTCTTCTGATTGAGTATTTAGTACAGACATCATTCTCATGGGGAGTCTTTGCAGAGGTCAGTTGTAGACTTCTTATATGACTTAAATATTGATCTTTACTATAAGGAGAATTGTTTAAGCCATTGTCTTCAAATGGTGGGCACTTGGGATGGATTTGCTCTCAAATCTCATTAAGACCATATGGCTTCTGTAATCATGTATGAAATACTTGGTTTGTCTCTCCTCACATGCTCCCCACCTTCACATCTGCAGCAATGAGCACTGCATAAATAACACCTGACTCAGCTCTGCTCCATCTTTCACTTCCTGTTCTGGGGATTCTCTGATGCTGCATTTGTCTGTCTGCTGGAACCAATGGACTCATCCCTCACACACTTGAAACCAATACAAGAATCTTAATGCCTCATTAAAACCCAACTAAGACAGGAGCAAACAACTATATGTTCCTCTTTTTCTTCTTTCAGACATTCTACATGGTCCTTGGAAGGGCCATGAATCTCAGCTGCCCACACCTGCATACTTTTCCAGTTCTCTTTCACGTTTCACTCTTCTCAGTCCCCCGCACCTGTTTTCTAAAATCATCTCCCTAAGCAAACCACACATGCATCAGCTGTTGAGTTGGCTCTGCTTTCTGGGCTAGTCCCTTATTGCCCCAAGTGCTTACCATTTTGACTATTATAGGACTAGGAAATAAAGTGACAATAAAGAATTGCTTTCATTCAAGTTCCAATAAGCTGTTTCTATTTAGAATTTATTAGACTCTTCCTAAGTACCAAGCATGTGCTCAGTGCTCCATGTTCATTATTAAATTGCATCTTCTCAACATGCCCTAAAACAGGTATTACTATCCCCATTTTATAGATAAGAAACTGAGTCTCAGAAAAGAATGTAACTTGGCTCACATTTACATAACTAATGGGTAAATAGTCTAAACCTTAGCTCCAGCTAACATAGAAGCCCACGTTCTCGGCCATTATTCTCCTCAGCACTCCTTCAATAAGCAGGGGTTTAACCCTTGTTCACCCATGTAAGAATGGAGTCTAAGTATTTAAGCATATAGTTCCAGATATTTTTGAGAGCATTTGATAGCAGTATATTAAAAGTTAAATAACAGCCCAGTGTAACATGGTAGCTACTTGGAAGCTACAAGAATCCTCTAATGTCAAGAGACTGTATCTCTTGAAGCTGCGAAACAGTTATTCCTATTCATGGGAACGTTTGCTCAGAAATGCACAGCTGTGTCTGGGAAGTCATTAGTAAAATCACTTCCTCTTGCAGTATGCCAGCTCTATTCCAAAATTATTCCTAGAGGCATTTAAAGCAGTGTATTGATCAAAGCATCAGACTTGTAAACATGATAAGATCACCCAGAATTCAAACACTGTAAATCCAGGAAGCATGTTGTGATATTTAAAAGCTTCACTGACATCCACAATCCTATTTACAATTCAACTTAGGAAATTTTGCATTACCTCACAATTTTCTATCATTATAGGCCATAGAGTTTATTGACTACTGATCAGACCTACTCTCATTTCTCTTGGCAATATTTCAGCAATTTTGGAAGAGAATTCAAAAATCTTTTCTCTCATCAGAGGCAAGGGTGGAAGGTTTTTTAAAAAATTAATAAGTCATATCAAAGAACAATTTTGATTATTTTCCTATTAGACTTCTAATCAAATTTAAGATAGTCTGATACTAGCATGACAGGCTTTTGATATAGTATCTTGATTGCAAGGAGAGTCTATGCTGATGACTATATCTGTCTTTTTCTATCAAGCCTAGCACCATTTTAACTAAGTAATCATTGGCATGATTACAGTTTGCAAATTCAGAATTTCAGACTGCCAATTGATATAATAAAAGCCTAAGTGACCATTATGGCGGAACGACCAGATTGACTGGTCGCTATGATGTGTACTGACCACCAGGGAGCAGATGCTCAATGCAGGAGCTGCCCTCTGGTGGTCAGTAGGCTCCCACAGGGGGAGTGCTGCTCAGCCAGAAACAGATTTCAAGGATGGTGAATGCAATGGCCTTGGTGGAAGCCTCTCCCACCTCTGTGGCAGCACTAAGGAGCACTAGCTGAGTGGTAAGGAGCAGCAAGCAGGCAGGCAGTAAGGAGCTAGGAGTCACAGACTGTGGAGGAATGTCCCAGACTCTGAGAGGGTGCAAGCTGGATTGACAGACTCCCCCTCACTCATACACACACACACACACACACACACACACAGTGCAATAATTTCTTGCACCAGGCCTCTAGTAGCATCATAGATGAAGAAATCAGAATTTAGAGAGGTGAAATAATGTTCCAACAGGGTTACACAGTGTATAAATGACAGAATCAGGATATGAACACAGACCATGATGACCCTGAAGTCCTTGCACACATCTATGATTACAA